ATTTGATTATTTTACATAGAAATATTAGTGTAAAAATACGAATGTTACTGGAAAAAATTGCTTTTAAGAAAAAATTTAATTTTTTGACAAATTAAACATAATGGTTTACCTTTATTTTCCATGAAAAAGTATAAATGAACCCAAGAATTATTTAAAAAACGATGTTTTTCACAAATTTTTTTTTTTTTACTCGCCATAATGTTTGGATTTACTTGTAAAATGAAACTATTACAAACGCAAACAGTCACACGTACGGGCGTAATCATGGTGTAATACTAATTGCTACAAACGCAAAGTAACTATGACCATAGATTAAATATATTATATTAGATACATATGTATTAAATACATAGATTAAATATATTTAATTTATCCTACGACTGAGTAGTGTAGCCATCATTATTTTCGACTCCGATCAGATAATAATAACAATTTTATTTATAAAGAAAAAAGAATTGAATAGTTTGAACATTTTATAAAAAATTTATTGAACAAAAATAAAACACAAAAATGAACCACCTTTGTGCGAGCCATAAAAAATTGCTTTGCGGGCCGCGAGTTACCGACCCCTGCCCTAGGGAGCCGTAGACCACAGGTTAAGGACTGCTGGCATAGAGTATTACAATTCCTACTTAATAAGTATTCATTAAACATTTTATTAAACCGAATAAAAGTATTGCACATTTCATATTTGTTATTGCACACAATTTTAGGTCGTGTGGTTTTCACTGATAAAACAAAAACCAAAAACTATAAAAGTTTAATGAAGTTTAATTTTAATGATTTTTTTCAGCTTCAAAATTAATTTTATTATGATGGATAACATTCACTTTTTTAAAAATTTTTTGAAGTGAAAGGTTTTTATGACTGTTGGCGCCTAGGTCCTTTGTACCTATTTCCTACTTGGCATACAGTCTAAATCTACATACAAATTTGACATAATCAAATGTACCTATTAAACTTATTTAAATGTTTTAGCCCAGGGTCCCTGTACGTATTTTAACTTGAAATAAACTGCATATAGTGTACTTAATTAAGGCGTAAGGCTTAAGTCATAATAGACATAGTACTATATATACTTATATTATATTATACTATAGTATTTATTATTACCAGTCCTTACCTAGTTTGAAGTTTTAAGTTAGATGTCGTACTTCAAAAACTTCTTTAAAAAACCAATTGTTACTAACGCCCAAGATCTGAAAATATAATATATTGCTGTCAGTTGTCACCTGTTAACTTAAATCGAAAAAAAATAAAACCCGTTATCCGAAACCCGAGAAAACATAAAACCCGGTTTTAACCCGTAACCGAAATCTGTGAAAAGTCAACCTACTTCGACTCTTGGATTTAAGATAATAATAAAATTAAAATTACCCATCTATGTTATTGTTGTATGCGTATCACCCCATTTTATATATTTTATTATTATTTTCTTATCGAGTTATTTTATACATGTTTTTTGTGTATTACAAAGTATGTAAAACCTGGCTGTTCGAACATCGACGGTTACGTGTATCGCTCGATCGGGCTTGGCTCTCTCTCGCCACCTTTCCGTCGAAGAGTTTGACGTGCGATAGTTTTTTTTTTTTTTTTTTTATTTCCGGTACTTTTTTATATCCCGTTCGTTTTTGTTACCGGCTTGTGCGTTATATTGATTGCGTTCCGTCGAACGAACTTATTATTACTGTGTCGAGTTACTTTTTTATTAATATTATTCTTATTATTATCATTATAACTAATCGCTTCAGTGTACTTTTTCTTTTTAATTAATCACCCTTCTGTGAGTCGTTTTGGTGAGTGGTTCACAATCACGCCACCAAATTATTTTCGATTACGTATAATATTTACCTTTAAATTGTTTTATTTTCTATCACATGTAGAGTATTTTTCCGATTATAACAGCTGCTCCCAAACTGTGCTCCGCAATTGTTTCTAAAGGGCTCCGTTTGTTTTACCATAAAACATTTAAAAGCGTAACAGTAATATGTTTACAAGACTCCGTCTTTCAGATATAATTCATCGGTACGTATACAAACAATTTTAAAATCCCGATAGAAAAACATAATTTTTTAATTTTATTAATTACGTTTTCCCATTCCAGTTATTTTGCGGCCACGTATATTGTACATAATATTAAATTTACACCATCTCGTTTTTGAGTTTTCTCCTATAAAAATACATATCGTGTGTAATATACTTCGTAGAACACAGGCAAATAAAACTTAACGCTAAATGTTTCTCAGGGCTCCCCGAAAAAATACTGCTTAAAAAAAGACTCCGTAGCTGAAAACGTTTGGAAATCAAAATGGATTATAACATGAAAATGTTTTTGTTTCCGTATAGTAAAGGTTCTGCCTTGGAAGGTTGATTTAACTGTATTAGTTTCACGGAAGTAATGCGAAAGCTGTTCCCGTGGCGCGTCGGTTAAAAAAAAAAAATATTAGTTATTTAAACCGGGACTATTGATATTTTTTGTTTTAAAGAGAACTTTATCTTACATACTGATTTTACTGTACTTCTAAATTTAATAACATGACACAAATATAGAATCAAATTTTTTTTTAGAACAATATTTTTTATTGTGAGATTTTTATAACAGTATTTTTTTCCAAATACCAAAATAAACAATAAACCAAATACCAATTTATTGTACGTATTAACTTGCATTCACTTTCTTATATATAAATGCATTCTCAATACTCTGTGTAAATATTTTATGTAAGTCGTACGATATTACGTGTTTATTTATGTTATTGTTACAGTATAAGTTCTCACGTGACACTGAATTTACATTTATAACTATACAATATACAATATGCATGTAAAAAAAAAAATTTATAAATATTATTCTTTTCTTTTACGTAACATTATGAATACCGTAGTATCTAATATCCGAAGTGGTTTCAAATAAAATAAATTTTTATTTTAATTACATTTTTATACTTTTAATTAAGTCTACGAAAGAATATTACAATTCGTGGGAAACCTGTAAGAATATTGTACATTTTATTCATTTTTACATAAATTCAACTTTTATTTAGTTAAAAATTACTGTAGATCGTTAAATAGAATAAAACCTTATACAACAGGTAGTTATATATTTACCTATTAACTACGTGTTTAAGTATACCTTAGTCTTATAACGGACATACGGACATAAAAAAGTCAAAACGTATGACATCTGACTATGGCACATCAGTTAGAACTTGTCAAAAGTGTAATCTACCAACGAATTCGTGGAGACTTAGGTGTTATCAACCTAGAAAATATGATCTACCGCCAATCTTAATTATAAATAAATATTATTTAAGATAGGAATATTTTTACTAAAATGTTGCTTATTAAATTTGTATTTCAAAATTTTACTTTATATCTGAAAAAAAAGTCATCAAATGTTTTAATTTTTATTGAATAACACGATTGCCCCATTCTTCTTTTAGCTGGCGATCTAGTCGTGTAAAGGCACTGTTAGCTTAAAAACTATTTTTGGTTTTGACTTACTTCTAAAATGTTTCTATTGTTTGAGTATAAGCTCCAATATTTGAATATGCGACTTTTTACTATGATTCAACGTTTAGTGAATAAATTAATAGTCTATATTTAATCAGTGGAACACAGAATCCTATGTTTAAAGTCGGTTAATTAATCAACACAAAGCAGCAGATGGTGCTAGATAAAAAGTTAGTAAAAACAAAGAAGAAATACAGATATATTAAAATTAAATACTAAAAATAAAATTGGGGTTAATCGTAGGTGCTGTTACACGTATATATTACACGTGATTCAAGAGAAAATAGTTCAAACCACCATAGTGCTGTTCTCGTATATGAATTGATGCGATGTATACAACGACCAGTCCTCTCGGCATTGATTATTTCGATTCCTAAAATTTATAGACTTTAAATAAGTTGATCGAGTTGTCATCAACAATATTCAGTTTACTACGGGTTTGAAACTGAAGGGTTCAATGCTGACAACTGCTGTATCTGAGATTCAGTAATTCTAGTTTTGATGAACCGATTTTCGATATTCGTTTTGTGATTTGCACATCGAGTTAAAAATTATAATTTTAAATTTCAATATTTGATCAATTTTACGATCTACGTCTGACTCAGTTACTTAATACCGTCCTGGATTCACCTGACTACCAAATATTTCGACATTATTAAACTTTCCCCTTATTTATTTTATTACTCGGTGGAGTTAATGAGTAATATACATAATATTAATCATTTTAGAATAAAATACATCCAAGGTATTATCAATTTTTATCAGCTCTTATAACTAGCTTTTACTGTAGCTTTTACCATGTAGGGAGTGGCGTCGGATGTGAACAATAAAATATCATCGTGTTGAATATCAACAATTCCATTGCATTTGTCAATTATCGAATAATTCGTTTTTTCTAATTATCCTGACTTTAATAAACACTGTTTACCCACATGATCTGCTTCAAGTATACCAAAATTACATTAGCAATGAATCTACGTCTGATATCTGTGGTTTCGTAATATTCAAGATAAGATGAAATAGTACTTAAACCTCGAAATATGCAACATAAAATTTCGTATCTACTTTTTTAGTTTTCCGAAACAAATTTATAGTCCACATAAATATCTCTAGGACCTTAAAAAAATAATATATATATATATATATATGTGTGTGTGTGTGTAAATGATAGAGGTTATGAGCTCCGATTATTATGAAATACCAGTTTAACATGAAATGAAATCCACGAAAAAAAAAAAAATTAAAAAAAAAATTCAACGGGGCAGGGGATCCATCCTCCATATCCGTCCCCTCGTAATAACGCCCGTTTAGAGAACGACATAGTTCAGATGTACCACCTTCAAGCTGACGTTTTCGTATCACTTGGCGCTCACGGACATCGATGTGCACGTGTATACATGTACCGCCGCCACCGGTATGATCGGGAGGTACCGACAACGTGCGAAGACCGGTCACGAACGGGTGACGGGCAACGCAACGGCATTCTCCGTTTTCACTCCTCAGTCGTAGTTCGCATGCAGACGCATACGCGTTCAGTGGACGGGAACACGTAACGTAACGACGATATGCCTTGTGACGATCGTCCGGGAAACCGCGCGCAAAACCCGCCCTAAAACACACCCCGGGGCTTGACGTGATAATATTTGACCGCGCATAGTTTTTTTTTTTTTTTTTATAAACGTTCTTTTCCGCACACCGTACGAGTGAAGTGCATCGATAGCCAACGTGCAGTGTCGCGAACAACGTACTGGACATCAACGGTCGTCTCGCAGGCTGGACCGCTGGTGACGTATCGCCTAGTGCCGGCGACGGCGCGAGCCTACGACACGCAACGGCCACGTGAAGAAATGTCGAAGCTCGGCCGGCCGGTCTTAGCAGCCGTCGTTTTGCTGTCGCTGGTCAGCCGGAACACCGCAGGTTCGTACCTTAGACTTCTCACTCGCGCGCACAACCCTGATAAACCTTTACCGCCGCACATACGGTCAGATTTGCACTAGAAGATGGCTATTGACAGTTCTCTGCGATAGGACAACCCTCACGTAACGTTAAAACATCATATTTTATCGGGCTATGATGAGAGGTTTAAATTTTAAATCTGTTATATTTTTTAGGTAATATTTACTCGTTTTAAACTAGAAAATAAAAGTTTCGTCCCCTAAATATCAACCTGCCTGCTTTGTCTTAATCCACGTAAACCGTCTAGCCTTTTGAGCTTTACCATACTATTATTTTTACATTTTTTTTTTTTTCATTTTTTATATTTATCATTACCAAAATTATTATTTTATGTCAATTGAGAACATGAGCGTATTTTAGAAGGGCGAAGGGACGATCACTCCCCCCCCCCAATCCGTATTTAAAGAATTGATTTTATGTGAGATAAACATTTAAAATTTCTTTCATGTGGATCATTTTATAACGAAATCTAATTACGTGTGGCTGTGAATACTGAATTGGCCTTTTTGTCGGGTCCATACTTAGTAAAAAATTAAATAAAATACAAGTGTAATTTTTAAAACACAGACAGGTTTTCAAAAAGAACTACACAAATTCGAATCTAAGTAGATCTGGCATAAGATAAAAAAAAAAAAACCACAAATATTAAGGATTCACCTGATTTAAATATTACCAATAATTTTATTTGTAAATTTTGAACGTGAATTAAAAAAAAACATTTGAGTCGACCCCACTTAGAAGTAAGTCTAAATACGACCCGGGTTGAGAATTTTACTGAGGATTTTACCTAGTAACTAATTTGAAAGCTCTTAGTTGTTACTAAAAACGGGTTTACATAATACTATATATTTCATAAATTATTTTATGATTTGTTAATTTTTATTATCTGTGATATGATCTGATTGAATATAGATCTAGTAAAATGTCTTCTCTATATTATCATATAACAACAATATGTTAACCCTAGATACATATTTTACCCACATATTTAGTGTACTAAAATATTATCAAGTATGAATATATTTAAGCATGGCAAATTAATGACAGGAGATCCTGGTCGATAATTATTACAATAGTGAAAAGAAAAATGCTTCTATATAACGCGCGATGATATGCAATTCGGTACAAATCATTGAACCACAGTTCCTAATAATTTAACTATTATTGTTTCCAACAAAAACTTTGTGATTTTATGGTTATTAAATATGTCCATTTAATAATATTCTTTATAATAATGAATTATGATTACATAATACATATATTCAATTTATTTGACCGTTATAATACTCTATTAGTGCGATCACTACAGTTATCAGCTGAATAATATAATTAACTAAATACTGTACGCTTATATTAAATTATAATTTTATTTTTCCAACGATTATTTTTGTGTTTTTTTAATTTTTTTCTTTAAACTAAAAAAATTTATAAACATCTGTTATTCTTATTCACTCAACAGTAAGTAAATAAATAAATACAATTTGATCGATCAAAGAATTATAATATATATATATATAAGAAATATTTCTACATTTGGAATTCAGTTGAGGGTACGTAATTCTTGTCCAGTATCATTAACTATTTACATCAATTTTATCTATTTGCGTTAAACATTAGATATTTGAAAACATTTTAATAATTGTTGTAGCAAAATTGTAACAACTGTTACTTTCATCGACATCGTGATCTGTACAGGAAATAGAGTTTCTGAATTGTTAACCATTGGAACTGCTACTACAATAATTGCTCAAAACCAAACTGTTGCTAATATATAAGCTAATATACTTATTGTAGATTAGTATTAGTTCATGGACCTAAAAAAATTGGTATTATACATTATGTTCGTTTTTCAAATATTTAAAAATTAGTTCCGCCTATTGCATCAAGTTAGTTTTTCGAGTTCAGTAATTGTTTTACAATGTATTGGAATAATATAAATACGTAAATATTAAAATTAATTTTTTATCATATTGTATAAGAGTTAGTTATGTCTATAAATATAAAGTATATTCTGTATAAGTATGACATTTATTATATCTAATATTGTGTGGGTATATTTAAAGTGGTGCATGTCAAAAATATTAAAAAATTAAAAAAAAAAGTTAACACGGTCGTCAAATATATATATTAGTTTATTGAAAATATTTATAATGTAATTAATTATAGACTATTATTAGAATATATAACAATAATCTTCGTTTTAATTTATTTTCCGATCTTAATTAAATATATACTATATAATTATAAGTATATATAGTATAAACAAATTAATTTTAAATTTTAACAGTCTATAAATAGATATTTTATATTTTTTTTATAATATTCAACAATTTTATGTTGTTATTAGCAACAAGACTAACGTGTTCATCAAATGTACTACATATGATTTATAGTTCTAAAGGAAGTAAGAAATATATTAGTTTTATATTAATAGATTTTCTTTTTTTTTTTGTTAATAAGATCAAATTTTCTACAATAAATCTGTACTAAAAGTTTCAAGCAACCACTCATTTTTATGAAAGAAATATTGATTCAAATCTTCTTCTTCTTCACCTTCGCTTTTCTTCCAATTATTTGGGGTCGGCCACCCTTGTTCTAAATTTCCACTCGTCTCGATTTTCTACATCTACTACGCACACACCAACAGCCCTAATAAAATTATCAATCGTAAGCAATCGTCTCTTTTTTGATTTTCAGACAGGAAGACTCTTTACCCTTCAATGTATATTTTCATAACTACTCTTACTGCTTTTGTTTTCTCTCCTCATTACATGCCCAAACCATCACAGTATATTTTCTCTAATCAAAAACTGACTCAAATTATATTATTATAACAGTTAAGAAAGTTAGTGTTTTGAAAAAACTTAAAATATTTGGAAATAAAGTAAAATTTCGTCTCACGGAGGTTATTATATAAATCTTGTAATAAAAGTTAATAAATTAAGTTTTCGTTATTCTTAATTGTGACTTTATAAAATATTTATATAACATATATAATAATGCAAAAAAAAAAAAAATGTTGACTGACTTGTGTAAAGTCTCATAATGACGTTTAAAATTGAAATTATTAAAAATGGCTACTATCTGGTGGCAAATCAAACAAAGTGGCAAGTCTCCTGAGCGACCAGATAAAACAATATAATTCTGTCTACTCAGGCAACTGGTTGTTTTCAAATTCAATTTTTCTACTTTTCTTGACCATAATCAAATAAAACAAAATAAACACAAATATAAATTAAAACGAAATTTGTAACAACGTAATACAACAGAAATTAAGTCAACACTGTTCAGTGATAATTGACGAACTGGCGTTGATGTATAATATATACATACCGTAGACCAGTGGTTTTCAACCTGGGGGTCGTGAATCATAGGTTTGGGAGTCGCCAAAAATAATGGATAAAATGGTTTTTCTATATTATTTAAAAAAAAAAACAAAGTAAATTATTTATTATGTGAAATTTTTAAGTGTTAATTGATCAAAATGATTTATCATGTAAATATTTTATCGGTAATTAAATCAAATTTTGATGAATAAAACAAAATTTTTTTTTGAAGGGGTCGCATTACACAAAAATAAAAAATGGAGGGTCACGATCCGAAAAAGGTTGCAAACCACTGTCGTAGACGGTCACCTATTTAAACTTTAAAATATGAGTGACAAGTTATGATTGACAACTAGTATAATATCTGCTTCCTCCGGTAACAACAAATTAATTTTATTATTGATTTTACTTTTTTTTCCTTGTCTATAGGCCGGATAAAATTAGTTTGTGAAAATATAAATGTAAATATAAATATATAATATATATATATATATAAATGTACAAACTAAATTACTAGTAACTAAGTTAATAATTAATTACAGTTTTTCTATTATTTATTTTATACACTTATTTTCATACTTAACATTGGATTTTACTAATGAGTACCTATCTATGGCGGTATTATTCAACTATTACATATAAGAATAATACAATGCAAAAATTATGAAATTTTATTTTGATTATTTTTCCGTTTATTTATATACATATACATTTATATTTATATACTTATTCATCTACATATAGAATAATATGATACACGTACAGATACTTTTTATATCACATTATGTAGTTTTTATATATTTTCTACACACAAATAAAAACAATGGAATAAACCGTTCGACCACAAAACTGGTAAAAACTATATTCTATATGTTGCCTATTACGGCAAAGTAATACTTTCACATTTGCTGAACGTTTAGAATAGTTTTGTTAAATTGGGTCTCATTAAAATCAATTAAGTATACAATATAAGTAAAACACATATAGCATGCCATTGTTTATGACATATTTAAATATTATATTACTTCACATTAATTTTATATTTAATTATTGAATTATTTTTTTGTTATTTTTGCTATTTCTGTTTAACGTAGTGTGCAATTCAATGATTTTTATTTGGTTATAGGCAGTGATTATGATGTTTCCTAATAATCCAGTGCGTTAAAGTCTCTGACTATCAATGCATCGCTTTTTGTTTGTCTTGTTAACATATGTTACAGATGACAAAGATTTTATTAATTTTTTACAAGATATGTATATTATATAGTATAGTATAGTACGTACGTATTATTCATAAATAACAATGAAATAAATATATTTACTGAATAACGAATTTAATTTTTTAATTTTGTAAAATATTAAAATTTGAAACTTTTAACAATGTGAGAAGTTATATTTTGATTTAATTTAATCATTGCTAATTTTACTTTTATTTTTATTTTATTTTACTTTATTTAATTCTTTTATTTTACTTTTATTTTTTAAATACTTATCGATCAATAATTCGATTTAATTGATTGTGTAAGTCAAACGAGAACTTATAATTAAGAATTTATTTTATAATATAATACAGTTATGTATATATATAAATGCTATGGGGTGGGGCAGAGTTGGCTTTATTTTAGCCCCCCCTTC